TTGTGAGCCCTACAGATTATATGAAGTGCTACTTTAATTTGTGAAGATCATTGTATCCTGGGAGATCTACGCCATTCATCCGTAAGCACCGAAACGGGGTGAATCTGTCTTAAGAATAAACTGTCACACACTTGACTTGATCTTTTTGTACTTATTCGGTTCAGTAAATAAATTTTGTAAGTAATTTATTTTATTTATTTGATTTGATTTTAAGTTATTTTATTTTACACAAAAGATTGTTTCAATATCTTTATTCTATTTTAAGCTAACTTAAAAACAAAATCAAATAAATAATTTAAGTCTTATCAAGTGGAATAATTTAGGCTTGGTTTGGCATCTACTATATAATCCATCTTTTTATCTTTTTTCCATCACATCACCTCTCTACTTTTCTGTACATCTTTTCGTAAAAAGATAAAAAGTGTACTTTTTTAAGACACCCCAAACCAACCCTTAATATTGAGAAATTTCTCCTGACATGATATGTATATTTTTTTATTTATTAGATTATATTATCAATTAATAAAAGAGAAATATTAGAGATTCTTGTTTTTTTTTTATGGTTGTATTTGTTTTAAAGGATTAGGGTGTGAGATTTGACTATTAGTCTCATCAAATTAATAGTCTATTATTTGTTTAAAATATTTTACTTCGGACTATTAGTCCCACAAATATGTAATAGTCTATTATTTGTTTAAAATATTTTACTTCGGACTATTAGTCCCACAAATATGAGACTATCCTATCTCATGGGGGGTGAGATAGAAATCATGGGATTACTCATCCCATGGGATTAGACAATGAAATTATATTTTTGCTCTCTAGTATTTAATTATGTATTATATTTAGTAAAATTTAAAAAAATTTAAATGTCTCAATTTAAAAATAAAATAATTTTATTTAAAATATTAAAACTACGTTTAATATTACTATTACTTAGTAAATAATTGAAAATGATAAAATAGTCATTTGAGCATTTATTCTTTTTCATAATATACTAAACAAATATTGAATTCATTAAAAATAGTCCTATCCAGACATCTAATCCCATGACTAAACAAACATAGAATATAAATCCAGTCTAATCAAATAATCCAGGGATAATGTATCCCAGGACTAATAATTTGATGGATTACAATCCCTCCTTATCCAGTCCGTCCAAACAAACACACCCTAAAGATATAACAAATTAAAAGTAAACATCTATCATATCATATTATTACAATTTTTTTTTTTGTTTTCATTAATAAAATAATTTAAAAATTAAAAATTTATTTACTTCTTCATAAAATATATCTTTCAAACTATTTATATAAAAAAAATTCAATTAGTCATTTTTTTTAATATTTATAAAAACCTCCTAAATCACATTTTTAATTTAAATAATATTAAGAATTATAAAAAATATATAAAAAATGAGTGTGAGTTGATGTGACACCCCACTAACATAATATGTGTTTTTTTTTTATTTATTATTTTTTCATCAGTTTAATGGTGGATTAGAGCATTTAAAAATAATATATCTTTTTATCTTTTTTTATCATATTACCTTTCTATTTTTTTTTACATCATTTTATAAAAAGATAAAAAATATATTTATTTAGATCATTCCAAATAATCCATAAATTAATGATTTTTATCGTGATTGAAAAAATATTATGAAGGGTGAGTTCACTGGCCATGCTATGCTATGGTATTCTCGAAAGTCAAACCTTGACTACAATGTCTCCCTTCCACTGAGACGACTCCATTTCTAAACTGCTTTTGAAGAGCAAAACCGTTAGAGAGATCCCAACAAATGGCGATCATGATCACTCGCTCACTCTCTCTCCTCACCTCCTCACCTTCGATCTCTCTACTCTTCGTCTTAGTGCTCGCCATCGACGGTCAGGAGTTCACGATCAAGGAAGCCACAATCGATGGCATCCAACGCGCCTTCACCGAAAATCGTCTCACCTCCAGACAACTCGTTGACTTCTACTTAAACCAGATCGAAACCCTAAACCCGGTGCTTCGCGGCGTGATTGAGGTGAATCCAGACGCGGTAGATCAGGCGAAGAAGGCCGATCGAGAGACGAAGAGAAATCAGGGCCGTCAGTTTCTGGGAGACCTGCACGGTGTTCCGGTGCGGCTCAAGGACAGCATAGGTACGAAGGACAAGCTGAACGCGACGGTCGGATCGTACGCGTTGTTAGGATCTGTGGTAGCGCGGGATGCGACGGTGGTGGAGAGGTTGAGGAAGGCGGGGGCGGTGATAATGGGGAAAGCGAGTGTGAATGAGTGGTATGGGTTCAGGTCTTGGAGCATTCCGGAAGGTTGGTGTGCGAGAAGTGGTCAGGGCTTGGTACGTATCATCTCCTTCAAGGATCATGAAAAAAAAAATCATAAAATGCATCATGAAAATTTTTCATTTTTTGATTAGTGTGGTGTTTTATTGTATGTTTAATTTAAAGGTATAAAATCTTTCGTGATTAGTGTGTGGTGTTTTTTTTTTTTTTTTTTTTTTAATTTTGTTTCATGTTACCGTGTAAATGTTCACGTTGGTATAAATTTAATTTTTCTAAAGTTAGTTGCATGTTAATTCTAAATTGTGAACGTTCATATTGTATTTTAGTATGAATTTTTTTTTTTGAATTTTTTTTTAAAAGTTAGTCGTATTTTTTAATTTTTTTTATTTTTACTAGTTAATTGAACAATATTTTTTTTTTGTTACCATTGAATAATCGAAATTGTCCGTTCTTACTTTTTAAAATTTTATTTTTATATTTTTACGTTGTAATGTAAATATTCACATTGGTATGAGTTTATTTTTTTTAAAAACTAGTTATATATTAATTGTAAATTGTGAATATTCAAATTGTATTTTGATATAAGTTTTATTTTTTTGAAAGTTAATTGTATGTTTGTTATTTTTGTTACCATGTTTATTAGTTGAACAATTATTTTTGTTACCATTGAACAATTGAAATAGTCGATTTTCACTTTTTTTCAATTTTATTTTATATTTTCACGTTGCAATATAAATGTTTACGTTGGTATGAGTTATTTTTTTAAGGCTAGTTGTATGTTAATTATAAATTTTAAATATTCATATTATATTTTGGTATGAATTTTATTTTTTCGAAAATTACCATTGAATAATCGAAATAGTCCGTTTTTACTTTTTAAAATTTTTTTTTTATATTTTTACGTTGTAGTGTAAATGTTTACATTAGTATGAGTTTATTTTTTAAAAAAACTAGTTATATATTAATTGTAAATTGTGAATATCAAGTTGTATTTTGATATAAGTTTTATTTTTTTGAAAGTTAATTGTATGTTTGTTATTTTTGTTACCATGTTTATTAGTTGAATAATTATTTTTGTTACTATTGAACAATTGAAATAGTCGATTTTCACTTTTTTTCAATTTTATTTTATATTTTCACGTTGCAATATAAATGTTTACGTTGGTATGAGTTATTTTTTTAAGGCTAGTTGTATGTTAATTATAAATTTTAAATATTCATATTATATTTTGGTATGAATTTTATTTTTTCGAAAGTTAATTATATATTTGTTATTTATTGTGAACATTCATATTGTACTTTAGTATGTGTTTAATTTTTTTCAAAAGTTAGTTGTATGTTTATTGTTTATTGTGAACATTCACATTGTATTCATATTTTTATTCAGATTTTTTGTTGTGTTATTTTTAAAATTTTCAAATTATAAAAATGTTCGAAGTTCATAATTTGAGATTTTGTTTATGAAATAAGGGGAGATTTTCTTTTTAAAATAAGAGGGAGCTTTTCTCCATAGAATAAGGAAAAGATTTTCTTTTTAGAATGAGGAAGAAATTTTCTCTATAAAATGATAAACTATTGTTATGTATTAGTTTCAAAATAAAAAATGTGTAAAAAATTAAAAAAGATGATTTGATCATATTACATTAAACAATACTTAATGAAATATTAAAAAAGAATATAGATTAAATAGAATAAAATAATTGAATTTATCAAAAAATGACCTATACATATATATATATATATATATATATATTTGGTAGATAGACGAAATAACATAAATAGTTAATAAGAGTTTGACAAAATTCCGGGAAACACATTCCCATTAGCATCAGCAAGCAGATGCTTTACGGTATAGCTAGGTGCCGTAAATAAAAGGTGCAATCCTTCTTCCCTTGTGCTTCCATTATTTGCCAATGCATCCGCCCATGCATTTGCTTCTCTATATGTGCTTGACTTCCACCACTCCAAGTTGGTCCAACAGGTACCTACAGTCACAGATTAAGTCGTTAAGAGGTTGAAAATCATTAACTTGTTTTGCAAGGAGTTGACCAAATCTGAAAGAGTGAGAAACACGGAATTAAAGAGATGGGTGAAAAGAGGAGACCAAATCTGTGAATTTTTCGTTTAGCTAGTAATCAAAACTATATATTTCATTTACAATTTACACCAAATCTGTTTTCTTTTCATTAGGTTGATTTGTCGTTCATGATTAAAGCTCTTGCAATGATACCTGTGTTGCAGGGCTAACTTGTTTAATTAAACTAGGCCTCTTTTTTTTTTGGTTTTTTGGTTTTGGGTATGCTAGTAATGGTCCATCATTATGGGTAACTGTGTGAGTGAATTTCCGACCACACTGCTAACTCAGTATTCAACTGGAGAGAACTGGCAGAATAGGATAAGCCCAAACGACTTACAACAGAAAGAAGAGATTCCGGTGGTTGTTCGTCCACCCGGGGACACTCCGATGATTAAGTCAGTAATCAAAAAGTCAGTAATCAAATATCTCTCAAAGATAATCAATAGTGCTTGACTCACTGTTCGGAATATAAATTGCGTACTTTAGACCCATGGGGGTGCCTCTCTTTTATAGTCAATATAATCCTAGTCCCAATAGATGCCTAGCTTCAATGGACTTCTGCTCAGTGCTTATCTTGGATTTTCTAATAGATAAAGATAAACTCCCTAAGAGTTTTATCCTTATCCAGGCTGAAGTCCTTCCTCATTCTAGGACTCTTGTCCCTTATCCGCTTATCTCGGATTCTGATATCTTCAGAGATAACCTCGGTCTAGCCGAAATCACTTCGGCGTCACGACCAGGACACGTGGCATATCGGTTGATACGTTGGCTTCACCTTGGCCATGTGCTGGTACTCAGAAAATATATCCCTACAACTGCCCCCTAGGTTCTATTACCTCGGGATCCTGAGGTGAAGGAACTTATATCCTTCATGTCGGCTATCTTGTTGTATCATAAATTTACCGAGGTCATAATACACCGGCTCCTCACAACCAAGTCCTGTAGTCTGTCTCATCAAGGCTACAGAATTTTTAACCAAGTTTATTCGAGTTATTTAGCCGATATCTTCCTACTAGCTGAGGTCATTGCTTTATTTAGCCAAGAACTCTAAGAGTTCTATCACGCGCATGAGCTGTCACAAACAACATTCCAACTGTTTTTGCCATGCGCTTCTACCCCATTGGACCGTGTTTAATACGCGCCATAAAATCGCCTCGTGCCTGCGTGCGCCGTCTGTCGGATACGTCGTTCCAGGCACATTTAATTGCATTTTGCCCCCTCTTCAAGTTTTTGACAAAACTCTTTACCTCTCTCCTCGTCTTTTCACTTATCATCGTCTTTGTTCAAACTCTCTCTCTCTCTCTCTCTCTCTCGCTTTATTAAATCCTTCATTGTTCCAAGCTTTCAAGCTCTGCTACCACCGCCATTCACCTCATTCGGGGAGGCTCTTGCTAGTCTTTTCCACTGCTTTCGCTCGTCTGACTTCAGCGAACTCAACATCGGCTTCTTTTCTTCGGTGAGTTACTGTTTCTTCCCGATTTAACTTCTTGTTTTAGTTTTTTTTCGCTTTACTGAACTCCACTGCTCTGCCTCTACAATCTTGCTCATATCTTTGATATTTCAACTTGTATCTTGTTTTCCACCACATGTTTGTCTCATGATTCTGTTTTTGCCACATATGTTTCTTGAATTCACACTGTTCACACACTTGTTGATTTTTGCCGTTGTTCTTGGCTTGACACACCTACGTAAACTTTTGTCTTGTGTTTCTTGATGATTCATCACTGTTCTTGACTTTGAATTACATGCCTGTTTTCTGTTTCCTTTCCAGATTCGTGCCTTCAATCTTCGTTTCTATAGATCTAGGTTTGGGATTTGCTCGTAGAACCCACAAATTTTAGGAAAAACTGAAACGATCTCCACAAATTCTTACCCCAGCTCACATTTAGGTTTTAACCGAGGTCTTTAAAAACCATTACAAAACACTTTCTTCCGAAATCCTACACCTTTTCCTCAAGCCGACAACATGGGTATGTGGAAGCATAGGGTAGATACCCCGACCAAGTTAGAACACTTTAGGCAGGAGTTCGACATCCCAGCCAACATTCATCTGAGGTTGGCTGGGGAGGATGACTCCATCATGCCCGATGTGAACCTCATGTCTTTTCCAGTAGTGGGCTTTATCGAGTGTGGACTTAGGTTTCCACATGACACCTTTTTTCGAGAAGTCCTTCATTACTATAAATTGAACCCAATGCAACTTGCCATCAATTCTTACCGAGTTATTAACGGTACAATAGCCTTAGCCAAACAAGAGAATGCTAGGGTTACTCTTGCCGATTTCCAGTACTATTACACTATATGTCGCCTGAAATCGGAAAAAGGCCACATCTATTACCTCAAGCCGAGGTCCACTGAGTACAAGCTCATTGCCAACCTCTCAGACTCAAACAAAGGTGCTGGAGACGATTACTTCATCGTCTCGGGCAATTGGGAGTTTCAGCCCAATGATGACCTCCACCTTTATTCCCTAAGCCGAACAGTTTTTGGGGAAGGAGATGGTAAGGGCCAAGTGTTACTTTTCTTACTCTCTTTTCTAAAGTTCTCAATACTTTGTTCTAATGTCTATGCTCTTCTTTTTGCAGTTCTTCCTCATCCACCAAAGGGCTTTCGCCAGTCTTTCTTCCCCAGCAAGGACTTGAAGAAGCTATTGGATTTGCCAGTCCACAAGCGTAGAGCTCCCCTGCTGTTCAATTTCATTCCTACCTACAAGTCGGTTCTTCCCGACATTCCAAAGAAGAAAAAGAAGAGTCAATCTCCTCCGTCTGCCACTACTCCTTCCATTACTTTAACATCTCGGCCAGATCAAGGGTCAACCTCAGATCCAACAGAGCAGCCGTCCACTTCAGCTCCACAACTGATCCCACCATCTCAACGCCGACGACGACGACGAATTGTTTTTGCTGTTGAGATGGGTCACCAGAAAGCAGTTGCTATAGACCTCCTAGCCAGCATCCCTGCCGACGTTGACGTTCAACCAGCATAAACCCAGCCTCAACCAAAGCAAAAGCAAAAAAGACTCAAGAAGGCTCAGCGAAAGGCAACGGTGACTCAGATCGATACTGAGGACACCTTGCCAATTTAAATTAGCTAAGAGTGAGAAGACCTTTTCTGCTGCCGAGAAGAGGCCCGCCGATGCCGAACCATCTCAATCAACTCGGTCCAAAAGGCCGAGGTCAGAGTCAGCCACAACGTCGGGCTCCATGAAGTCTGGTGCCCCCTGGGCTCCACCCATTACTTTGGAGGACAGGCCGGTCAAAGTCGATGATAGTGCCGACGACATCAACGTCGGTGTTGCCCTTACTACAGCCTTACTCCTCCCTGGGGATCTTGACCGCAATGCCGAGATGACTGAGTATGAAAACTTTGCCTTGATGCTGCAGCATTCTGCTAAAGTAAGCCCCTTTATTCGGTAATTTTTCTTTCTTTCTCTTTTTCTTACTTAGAAAATTTTCTAGTAACTTCTGTTCTATCCATTTTTCATCAGGCAATCCAGCACGCCCACACCTTCTCAATGCAATCTTTTGAGACAAGGAAGGCGTTGGCCGACAAGACTAGGGAAGTTGCTAGTCTACAGAAGTCCAGCAAAAGGGTCGAGGCAAAAATGAAGACTTTAGAAGATTAGGCCGAGGCTGCTATCAAAGCTAAGGATGACGCTGAAGAAAAAGCGGATGCCGCTGAGGCCATCAAGAAGGTTCTTGAGACTGAAAAGAGAGAGGCTGAGGAAAAGATGACCCAGGCCCAGAAAGAACTTCAAGATGCCTTGGCCACAAAAGAGGCCGAAATCAAGGCCGCAGACGAAAAGGCATACGCTGAGGGGGTGGCCGATGTCACGGCGGACTATGAGCGTCAGGTGAAGCAGGCATGCAACAAGGGTTTCACCCTTGGTTGGATGACTTTACTAAAAAAACTTGAAGTCCTTGAGGACTCCCCCCTCAGGAACACCGACGTCCTTGCCCTGCCATTCCCTCCAACTCCAAGCCAATCTGACGATGATTCTGAGTCTGAGGAGGAAGCTTTGGTGAGGAAGTCAAAGGAAGCAGCTGGGGTCAAGTCCCCTACTCAAAATGAACAAGTCTTGGACTTGACTCGAGACGAGGAGGGTGAGGAGGTTCCCAAAGACGCTACTCTTGAGAAGGCAACGTTGGAAGCGTCTATAGCTGATAAGAGCCTTGAGCAAACCCTCCAAGAAATAGATGCCGAGCTTGCGGCTGAAAAGGCGGCCGACATGTCTTCTCTGCAGTTTTCCGAGCTCCAGACCCAACTTGCTAGTGGCGCTGAAGAATCTTAGTTTGATGTTCTTTTTCTTTTTTCTGTTCCTTGTACTTTTTCTTTCTCGGGAACAATGTAAGCACTTCATGTGGCCGATGTGCCTTCCTTTGAATATAAATACAATTGTCTCTCCTGAATGTTTGTATCTTTGTCCTCCTTTTACTGTCTTGTATGATACTAGACTTAGAATAATTTTGCATGCTTTCAAGCATACACCTTATCTGTGTAATTTCCTCAGGGTAATCTACCACGGTAAGTATAGAAGTACTTCTCTTAATGCAACCTTGGTTTTAACTTGTAAATTTTTTCACAAATTTCAACAAGTGTTCAGTTCAACTTCAACTTGTAAATTTTTCTCAAATTTCAACAAGTGTTAAGCATGATCTCGGTTTAATTTTTCACAAATTTCAACAAGTGTTAAACACGATCTCGGTTTAACTTCAACTTGTAAATTTTTCGCAAATTTCAACAAGTGTTAAACACGATCTCGGTCTAACTTCAACTTGTAAATTTTTCACAAATTTCAACAAGTGTTAGATTGATTTTAGCTTGTATATTCTATCTTTTCAGAAATCATTTTCCAATTCTTTGCCCCATAATGTGAACTGAAGTTTCACTTGGGTTTTCATTATGCATGTATTTCAGAAACCTCGTCAAGTATCTTATCAATCACAAGTGTGAAAAATCAAGCTAAAACTTTATTTATTACTTCGGCAAATAATAAAAAACAAGAAAATCTAATGATAGAAAAATTTCAGATTGCAGGTATTTTAGGGCCTTGGCAACTCTTTGCCCTCGTTATTTTCAAGCTGATATGCCCCATTGCCTAACACCGAGATGATTCTATAGGGTCCTTCCCAATTCGGGCCAAGCTTGCCCTCTCTGGGATCCTTCTTGTTACCAACGACTTTTCTCAAGACGAGGTCACTGATTTGAAACTCTCTTGGGTTGACTTTCTTATTATAAGCCCTGGCAAGCTGCTGCTGGTATGCTGCCAGCTGAATTGCAGCTCTCTCCCTTCTTTCTTCTAGTAGATCCAAATCTCGGGCTAATAATACATTATTGGTTCCATTCTCTACTCCTTGGGTTCTGATCCTTGGGATACCGACTTCCAGAGGAATGACTGTTTCTGTGCAATAAGCCATGGCAAATGGGGATTCCCCAGTTGATCTTCTCGGCGTATTCTGATATGCCCAAAATACACTTGGCAGTTTATCCACCCACTTTTCCTTTGCTGCTTGTTTTCATTGTCAGCTCCCTAGAATTAGCTTTAGAATTCATTATTTAGAGGTCTCTATCATGGTCCGACCTATAATAACCTCGGGCAATGAAATTGAGATTTTGATTCTAATCATGTAATTGAGAGGAGCTTTTTTAAAGGTGAGTATATGTAACCTCGGGCAATGAAATTGAGATTTTGATTCTAATCATGTAATTGAGAGGAGCTTTTTTAAAGGTGAGTATATGTAACCTCGGGCAATGAAATTGAGATTTTGATTCTAATCATGTAATTGAGAGGAGCTTTTTTAAAGGTGAGTATATGTAACCTCGGGCAATGAAATTGAGATTTTGATTCTAATCATGTAATTGAGAGGAGCTTTTTTAAAGGTGAGTATATGTCATTGTGCTTTTGTCTATGGTGACTGGATTGATATTAGAGTCCTTTACATTTATACTACAATAAGTGTTTGGAAGATAATGCGGATCACACATCTATTATTAAGATTTGACTTCTCTTCGGTCCAAATTATAAACTAAAGGATGTTGTTCGTGTTGGGATATACCTCCTTATTGGAGTGTGGAACCCAATTGATTTGTGAAAGAATTTTAATTTGACTTGATTTAGGTATAATATATTTTTATATATTATATTTGAAGAAACCCAATTCAATTTAGATACAATTAAGTTTGATTACAAAACCCTAGATTCACAATATATACATATATATTGTTTATGTTTTTTTCCGTGGAAGTTGTGAAGGAAAAATCGGCAGCAACATACACTTTCTTCTTGGAGAGATAGTGCTTGGGTTGATAAAAAAATCAATTAGGTGCAGAAGTTTTTCCATTATTCGGGGCAGTCATTGTGTGGCTAATTTGGTTTGTTATTTTGGATCTTCTACAACTTTAGTTCAGAAGATTTTGGTTCATCTATTTGGTGAGGTCTTTCCTCTTTGTTTATTTGTGATTATTTGGAATTCACCTAAGGGTGGTTTTGTGAGACCATTTGTGTCTCGTTTGTAATCGTTTGGAAACTCTTTGGTTGATAGTGGGAATCGGATTTCGATCCAGTGGACGTACCTCACATTGAGGGAACCACGTAAAATTCTTGTGTTGCCTTTGATTTAATTTTTCCGCATTAGTTTTTATTCCCAATTTGTTGAGTAAAAGCGAAGGCTCCCCCTCGATCAATGAGTTTTTTTTTTTCATTTGATTTTTGATTTTTCTTTCTTTTTTGCACTCACTGGTGGCTTTCACTCTCAAGAGTATGGAAACCAAACCAGAGAAGAATGAAATCATAAAGGATGGCCTGGTTGGTGCCTCTGAGGTAGCCTTTTCCTAATGCCCGGACTTCAAGGAACTGAGGAAGAAACCGTGAAAGTGAAAACAGATGGTAGATAAAGAGAGAGAGAGTGTGTGTTTGTGTTTAGCATTATTAAATTTTTTACTAAATAAATGATCAAATGTCTTATATGGATGTGAGGTTTATAAAATTGTAGATTTCACACCCACATGAGATATTTGATCATTTATTTGATAAAAAATTTGATTTCTCTAGCATTACCATTTTATATAAGCTTGGCCTTACCAATTAAAAAAATTAACGCACAGACCTTTGAACAAGAAAATTTAAAATTTCACTTCTCATCCGAGCACCTATCAATCTATATATTATATTAGAAAAATGAGATTTTTAGTGAGAAGTATTGTGAAAATTTTAATATCTCATACTGATTTTTTTGATATTCTTAATTTAAACAATTAAGAAAATCTCTATTAGCTAGCTAATTAGGCCTCGTTTGGCAAGTGATAATTTTAGCCAAAAAGTCACAAAAAAACTAAAAAGCCAACAACTTATAAAAAAGTCAAAATTTTCATTTCTCTATACTTTTTGCACATCTTTTCATAAAAAATCAAAAAGTCATTCCAAACATATTAGTTTTTTTTACATCATATTTTAGTCAAAAAGCCCAAAAATTACTAAAAAATTGTTTCCAAATGAAGCCTTAGTCTATGATTTATTTGATAATTCCACATTGGGAGAAGAAAAAAAAATGAATTATGTTACTCATATAAAATAAATCTTATACTCCTGTTTAATATTGTAGTATTGTACATGTTTTAATTTAATATAATTTAAATTTTAAAAGTTTTAATTAATTAATTTTTGTGTAAATTGGTTAGTCTTTTGACCTAACCGATTAAGTTGAATTATTTTTAATTTGACTGATTTATTGGTTTAATTGTGATTTTAGTAGTTTTATCAAAATATATTGATTAGATTTGTTTAATTAGAAATAAACTAAAGATTGATCTAATTAAAAATTGAACGACTGAGATTACTTGATTCGAAATAAACTTTCTGTCCAAATAATTGTTAACTTTTGTTTTATAATCTCACATCGGAATAAGAAGGAAAAAAACGAGATGTTTTACTTCTATAAAGTGAACCTTAATATTGTAGTCTTGTGCATGCTTCAATTCAAGCCAGTTTAAATTTTAAAATTAAAATAACATTTAAAAATTTTAATTAATTAATTTTTGTATAAGTTGTGAAAATCTTAAATGATTCGTGATTAGATCAAGATTAAGATATTCCAAATCCCAAATATCCAAAACACTCAATCTAAATCAACAAGCACTTACGAGAGTGATTTAGATTGTTTGTTTTTCGGAATAAACAATAAATCGACACAAACGATTTTTACGTGGAAAAACTACAATTGAAGAACCTTCAATTGTAATAAAAAACCACGGGCGAACCGCCACTAATCAATCCACTACTGAAGAAAGAAAGATTACAAAAATAACACACAAATTACCCAACTCAGTCAATTTGTCTTCGAATATTCTGTAACTCTTTCACCACGCCTTCGTCTCGGAATTGATTATCCTGAAGTTGAATCCACAACTTCGTTTGTTGAATGAACGACTACGTACAGAATCAACCCCCTTTGAAACTCTATGTTTGAATCTTCGGAATCCACCAAGAACTCCCTTGAATATAAAGTCACAAACTCCTTGATGTATGAATCTCAACTCATAAGTTAAGAACTCTCTGAAGAACATCAAGGAAAACTCACAAAAACCTCAGAAGAAAACTTCTAACAAAACCCTAAGATTCTTGAATAAGATCTATGAAAAAGTAATTCCTAAAAACAACCTAAACAGGTATAAATAGGCAACCTAAGTCCGCGATCTCCGCTCGAGCGCCCAACATCCCGCTAGAGCGGCGTCAGCAAAATATGCGTGTGACAAAACAGAGTTCCGCTTGAGCGCTTGATAACCCGTTCGAGCGCAAAATCACTCCTTCCAGTACTTTTACAGACCTGACAAAATACTGAGAGACCAAAATATCCGCTCGAGCGCCAATGGTCCCGCTCGAGCGGGAAAGACAAAAACATAGAGAAAGTTACAACTTGTTCAACACAAAGTTTTGTATCCGGATTTGACAATAAAGGGACCTAACAATCTCCCCTTTTGTCAATTTCCGGACAAAACCTTTCTAAATAATTGTCCTTAAACACACGCACTAGACAAGATTAAAAAACAAAGAAAAAAAACTCAAAACAACTCTATAATCAAACAATCTTGCCATGTATCAATCCATCCATCCAATCTTCATCCAACATTCACCTGTGAAAAGGCTAGCAACATACCAGAAAAAAAAACAAAACTTGTGGAACTGTATAAGAATATATCAAAACATACATAGAAAGATAACCATTCAAATATTAACAAGAGTATCCATCCAACATAACCAAAATGAAATATCCATATGAACAAAATATATCCATCTAACAAAATATGTACCATCAAAAAATGTCCAAAATGTATACCACCAATATCCCCAATGTGCAATGAACAATGAACCACCATGAACCACTGTATCCATACCAAACTCTCCCCCTTTTTG